GAAGTAGAGAGCAGCGAAAGTGTCTTTCATTCAGTATGATGAATGTGATCAATATTTATTTCTAAGTTGTACCAATAACCTTAAGAAAAAAAAATTGAGGCAATTCCAAATTATACCTCCCAATGACAGGCCAAGGCACTGTCATTTTTGGCAGAGCCTGGTGTCTTTTGAGCACTTGGGTTCTGGGACTTTTTGCCTGTGGGTGTCCCAAGGGCCTGGTTTGCATGCTTCCCACCCTTTGTGTCATTTGTGAGTAGGGATGTTTTGCCTCCTGCCCACCATTGGTAACACCCCTGCTGATCTCCCTTCAGGTTAGGTGGCCTTGTGCTCTGCCCTAAGCATCCCAGTTTCCCTCAGTACCCTGAGTCAGTCACCCGACTCCTTTGCCAACTCCTTTGCCGACTCCTTTGCCAACTCCTTTGCCAACCTGTTGGTTGTTTGCTTCCACACCCACAATGTCATCCACTCACTCCTGAGTTTCCTGTTAATTAAGGCCCTCAAGAGCTATATCCTTGGCAGCCACAAAATTTGTTTACACAATCAGAGATTCTCATGATAGAAAAAAAAATGGTGCTGATTGCTAAATCCATCCACATTCTTTTAAACTTTTCTCCAGACACAGATTCTATTTTCACTTTACAATATAATACTAATGTTTTACCACGCCAGGATACCCACATCTGTGACCTCAGTTCAAAAGCTTATATTCACTGGCTTGCTAACCGTGGAAATTTGGATTTTTGCAACTTACGGTTTTTGACATGCCATGTCAGTGAATAACCTGAGAATTTAATCTTCATGCATATTTTAAAGTATTCTTTGTTATATAAGCCCAGAGATGGATCTCTCAGAACACGTACATTTTCCTTGGTTTCTAACTATTTTTTCAGGAAGAGTGTCCTTCTTCCCAGAATGTATTTGCCCACCTTTGGTAACATTCTGGGCAAAGTAATCTTATGGAAAAATTACTTCTTCATTTTTTATTTTATTGTTTTAATCTTTTAGTTATTTATTTGGTACAGGGTCTCACTACGCAGCTCAGACTCGTAGTGATCCTCCGGTCTCAGCCTCTCCAGAACTAGGGTGACAGGAGTGTACCACCTTGCTGAGCTTTGGTGGCTGGTTCAGTGCCCAGGGTTGGCATGGCATGTGTTACTGAGGATCGAACCCGGATCCTGTGCTTGTCAGGCAGGTGCTAGGACTCCTGCGCTGTCTCCCCAGCCCCAAAATTACTCCTTCAAAAGTGATGACCTGTAATCATTTTACTTCCTTCATTGTCAATGTCCCCCTACCACACTGGCAGGAATACAGCCCCGTGATTGGGATGTGGCTTCAGTGTCCCCGTAGCACCTGCCCTCGGTGGCCTTTTCCTCTAGGCCTCCACATTCACCCCCATTTTCTGCACCCCTGGACCTCATGTTCTGGATCCCTTTGCACATAAAATGCTTACTTTTTCAGTCCAGATACTGGCAGGAAGCTGTAGCATGCTTGGACTGGATTATTTGATTAGCATTTAATAAAGTGACTGTAGGAAATGACATAAGCAGAATTTAGGGAGAGTGTGGTCCGGCTGTGAAAATGGTCTTGAGTGCCCGAAGCACCCAGGTTTGTAGAAACAGCACAGGGAGCCATGGCCAGGACCTTCCAGCAGCAGCGCGGAAGGCAGCCATGGGGTAAGTCCTCCAGCCCCACTTTCCATCCATGCACAAGCTCCTGCTGAAGACTGCCCTGGAAGGCAGTGGCCCCAGAGCCCATGGGCGCTGTCCCCACAGCTCAGCCTCAGGTGAGAAGGATGCACACCCCCTGCTGCTTTGCGAGGTCTAAAGGTGCTTTAAGGCTGATCAGGACATTTAACGTAGTCTCAGGTTGTATTTATGCATGATCCTCTCTCCTCAAACAGAATAACACTGGAGAAATAGCCACAATGTACAGCCACCTGAACTAGGACACCTGTGGCTCCCAGAAGGGGCAGGAAAGGATGAATGGCTGGACACTGCAGGCCCAAGGACATGAGATGCCAGGAAGGTGACACAGAACCCCTCTCCAGGCCCCCCAAGTCAGGTGCAAGGGTTACGAGACCCATACTCCTCTGTGCAGAGAAGAAAGCCCTGGCCTTATGGCTGCGCAGAAGGTACAGCCCTGCCTTGGAGGAAACACAGACACCTGGGACTTCTATCCCTGAGCGAGGCCTCCTAAACCTCTGTGCTAACAGGTGTTCAGCTGCAGGGAGTGTGCCCAGCCCACAGCACAATGCTGGGGTTGCACAACCCCCTCCACTCTGACCTCAGGGTCGGTCCAGGAGGCCAACCCAGGGTTTCCTTCCTGGCTAGTGGTCTGGAGTGCTTTTGTAGATGCTCTGAGAATGTTGCCAGGGGCACCATACACTTCTGAGTTTGAGGCAGTGGCCTCTGTTGGGTCTGTCCTCTCCTCATAGGGCTACCAAGCCCTGCCCAACCCCTGAGTTTACTCAACCAGCTTATGACTCTGAGCAGGAAGAAGCAAGGGCTGGCCTCAAGGTGAGTAAGCCCTTGGGCCTTAGTTCTCTGTTTGCAAACAGCTTACACTTCAGGCTTGACTGATGTAGTAACAGCCCGGGAAGATGCAAGAGGGAGCACGGTGCTTTTCAGGGGCCTTCTGCAGGTCACCCATTTCCTGCTTATCCTCTAGGGCTCAGCACCCTCTGCCCACCTCACTCTAACCTCTTTCATTAACACTGGAGTTGGCTCTGTGGCACTTCCGGGCAGGATGCCTTGACTTCCCTCACACTTGTAGGTGGTCTTGCTTGGCAGCAGGACACAGCAGGCAGGAACAAGACCTGCAACCAAGCTAAGACCTGCAACCAAGCTACCGATACCGGCCAGCTTCAGCAAGCAACCTGCTTACCCTGTACCTCAGCCTTCCTGGTCTGTCTGTCCGATAGGGAAGGTAATATGCACTGCTGCAATCAGACTGGTCACGTGGGCTAGAGTGCTTAGTACAAAACCTCAGTGGTTTGTTATTTTATTGCTTTCTTTAGAATCAGTGGAAGAATCAGAGAAAGTGTTATGACCCAAACCTGTGTCAGCAGCAACCAGAGAGTGTGAGAGGAGCTGGCAAAGCCACCAGGTGCATGTGTCCTTGTCCCCAAGCCTGCAGTTCCTGGGCATCTATGGTGTGCTGGGGGCTGGGGGCCATGGGCGATGTGGCAGAGGCAATCAGAACAGTCTCAGTGCCACTTAAGTCTATAGTTTAATCAGTGGCTCTCCGGGTCTTCATGTACAAAATGAATTTTTGTCCCAAATCTCTTCTAGATTTAAAAAGGACCTTGTTTCTATGGAGAGAAAGTTTTGTCAAAGTCATCCAAACCAGGAAGTTCAGGCCTGTTGCTGTGTCAATGTGACTCAGATCAAAGACTGGGCACAGACCCGGCCCCCAGGGCCCCATGGCCTGTCAGGGGACAAGCCAGAGACTCATCCAGCTGGTCACAAGGCCACCCTGACAGCCCTGAGTACCTCCATCCCGCAATGGTATGTCCTGTGAGCAAACCCTAACAGCTTCAGTGACTAAAGAAATATCTCTTTTATAAGATTAGGATTACTTTAACCTGTTTTATGTTTTTGGGTTTTTTTTGGGGGGGGAGTGGCTTTATGTATTATTGATGTCAAAATCTTAATTTTTTAACGTTCAGAGTATCTACAGTATTTTGACCATTTGGGGAGTCAGTTCTTTTTTCTAAGCTGCTAGAGGCCACCCACTCTGGACTTGTAGGAGATCCTGGAGGGCCTCTCTGCCTGGCCAGTTCTGGACTTGGGCAGAAGTGAGCTGGCGAGGCCTTTTGTGAGGGGAAGGAGTTGTGGATGTGGGTGTGGATGGGGGCAGGAACCCCTACACACGCAGCCCACTGATGGCCAGAGCACAGCCTCTCACCAGCTGTAACTCACAACTGGCTCTTCTGTTCCTTATCTCAGGGACCTCTGTCCTCATTCTTCAATATTAGTAACTCAGGAGGTACTTGTGCAGGGAAGGCAAGCTGAACCGGCCCTGATAGGGAGTGGACAAAGCAAGGACACAGCTCTTGGTGGAGCCAGGCTTTCCCGCGCATCCCCTGGCTCGTGCCAGATACACTAACTCCTCTCTCTGGCTTGCTGACCTCAGTTTCCTTAACAACCTCTCATCCTGGACCACCAGCAGGAACCTCCTTTGCCAGTTCTTTGCCACCAGACCTCAGCGGATAAAGCCTAGGGCTCCCCTGGCAATGCTGCCCTCGGGTTATCTCACGCATTCTTACAACTTCAAGCACCAGCAGCGAACTGGTGATTTCTGAATGTCCACTTTTAACTCCAAAATCATAGAGCTCTGGACTCTTCCTTGATAGCTGGATGTCTCCCATGTATCTCAAACTTAGGTCAAAACAGAACACGCTAAGTGTACGCTTTTCCACTGCCCAGCCTGCCTCCCCTCATTTCCCCAAGCCCTGTGCTTAGCTTCGAGGCTGGTCCCTGCCTGGTCTTTCCTCAGTACTGTAATCCACTGACACCTCCTGCCAGCGTTCCGCTGAATAACGTGGGTTTCTCTCACTTCTCTCCAGCATGCAGTCCACCCAGTAACCATGCTCAGCTGTCTCCTGCAACATCCCCTCAGTGTTCTGCTTTCAGTTCCACTTCCCTCTCAGGCCCTGTCCAAACAGCAGCAGCCAAAGGAACATTTGAAGCAAGTTTAAGTTGCGCTGTATTTTTCATTGGTTAAACATTTCCATGCTGCTCTCTGTGAGAGGGGCAAAATCTGGCTCCTCATGCCAGGCAAGCCCTGGGTGATGGAGCCCTTGCCTCTCCCAGTCTCATCTTCTGCTGCACGCCCCACACTCATAAGCCAGCTCGCCCCGGAATCCTGCCCAGGAGCTCAGATGCCCGCAGTCAGCTCCTATGTCAGGCCTCAGCTTAAATACCACCCGCTCCCTTAGCGTCCTCCGGCACAGACCAGCACCCATAGATGATTAAGGACATGTTTAGCAGACCGCTAACCTGTTAGAGGCTGGAGAGTCCCACACTGGAGTCTGCAGGCTGAGAGCTGGGGAAATCAGTAGCTGTCCATCCAGGAAGCTGGAAGCCACAGAACAAAAGGATGGGGATTCAGCTCCAGTCTGAGGCTGAGACCTCGAGGTCCTGGTGAGCACTGGTGGGAGTCTGTGTTCACAGGCTGAGGAAGTTGGAGTTTTCTGTCCAAGAGTAAAAGCAGCAGGGACAAACGTGCCCTCTCCGGAAGGATCTGGTTGGTGTGAGCAGGCTGGCACTAGCTTCTCTCCCCTCTACTGCTCTACCCCATCTGGGCCTCTGTCCCACCAGATGGTGCTGCCCACGCTCAGGGAGGGTTTCCCACTCAGTGTGCTGAGCCACGCGCCAGGCATCCCTCACAGAGACGCCCAGGAGTGACCTCTCCCACTTTCCAGGTGTCTCTTAATCAGCTCATGTGAACAGCCAGGATTAGCAACCCCCAGGCTGCCCTCATTCTCCCTATTGTTCCTGACACCCCTGTGGCACTTGGCAAATGTCATAAGTCAGGTCGAAGAGTTGTAGGCAGCCAAATTAGATAAAAATATTATAGGCAGTCAGACAGGGTCAGGCCCTCCCTCGAAGGAGATAGCATAGAAGACAAGATACAACTGTGGGAGGGAAGGATGCTCCTGCTGTGAGCCAGATCTAATGACCAAAGATCAAACAAATAGTGACCTCCCTAAAGATTAGCATCCAGGATTGATCTTCACCCTGAGGAAGTCAGGAAGCATCATTATCTGATGGTTATAAGATAAAGTCCTGTTTTACATTCATGACTCCCTTCCCTATTTGGTCCCGGACTTAACCAATTTTACCTGAGCAAAGGTGCTTGTAATCTCATTGGTTAACCATAGTTTTGTCCCACCCCACATCTACCTAAGTGAGTTCCCATTTCCTTCACCTTAGCCCGTGGTTTTACACCATAAAAGTCCCTGGAAGAGACAGCTTCCCGGGGAACAACCCGCTCGGTCCCCCCTCCTGTCCCTCTCTCAGACAGGAGCTTTCTTTCCTTCATAAATACATTCTGTTCATAACCTCCGTTTGTTCCTAAAATTCATTCTTCAGTTTTAGAGAACACAAACTCGTCCATGTCAAATTGGGAGATCATTTTCCCTGTGTCATTTGGAGGTTCCCTGTATCATTAGGGGGGTTACCCACCTGAGATCAGTTTTTCTCATATCGGAAGTCCATATGGACAGGGTCTTTGTATGATCTTAGGTGTTCTTTGGACTACAACCTCAAAGAAAACAGTAAGGATGAGTGTTTTGTCCCCTACAGAGCCCACTACAGCCTCTGGCATGTAGGAGAGCATCTTATAAACACATTTGAGAAGAAAGAAAGGGAGATGAAGGAAGGAAGGGACAGAAAGTGGAGAAAGCAGAAGGTTGGGAAAGGGGCACAAGGAGAGGAGGAAAAGAGTTGTTTTAATCTATATCGTCACGTCTAGAGATGTCTGCTTGGAGCTCGAGAGGGAAGTGGAGCCAATGAGAAGCACCTCCATGCAAACTGGCTCTTCTGTTGGTTAAGTAAGAGCCTCCTGTAAGTGCTTTATGAATTATTTCAGCTGTTTTTGTAGCACTAAGCAAAACTGTAAAAAATTTCCTTTTATTTGTAAGAAAAAAGCAACTCTGCAAACTTAAGAAGCTTGCTCCAAGTCTCACGCTGATTCTGAAAATGAGAGGTCCAACCAAGCCCACTGCTCCCTAAGGCCAATCTGCACTGTTTAAGTGACAAATTGGGGGCCTGTGGCTGACAAGTAATGGCTATTGTTTCAAATTTTCGTCAGTTGCTATTTGAAAGAACTTGTTAAGAACTTCTACACTTGAACTAAAGTAAAGATGGGATTGCTGGCTTCTGAAGCACAGAGGTGACCTCACCCCACCTGACTCCTGAGGAAGCTGATGTTGATTGGCAGATTCTCCTGAGCAAGGCGGGGCCTGTTGCCATGGTGTCAGCACAACAGTCCAGCCTAAGGCTGCCTGCAGTGCAGAGCTCTTGGATTTCATGTACACAGTAAGTGCTTTTCTATCACCCCTTCCTTATTACTGCAGCATCTACAGAACACCCATACTTACGCATCTTTGTAAATTGAGGCGTACCTCCCAAGAAGATGGGAATGTAAGTGGGATTGGTGTGAAGGAGTGTGCTTGCTACATTTCAGTAGTGAGTGATAGGCTGGTGAATATAAATGAAAATAAAAATGCAAACAAATGTATGCAAATAGGACTTGTAGGAAGCCTTTATTTTTATTTTTTTAAAAAGCTTTATTTTTGTATAACCCATATGCCATGAAGTCAAATCCATTTAAAGTATACCATTCAGTGACTTCAGGGTTATGAAACTATTACCCAGAAAAATCGAATTTTAAAACATTTCATCATCCTCAAAAGAAATCCTATGTTTACTTACCAAAACTTTCTATTTGCTTTAGTAAAAATCATTGTCCTGGAGGATTTGATCAGGCACAAAATTGCAAACAAATATACCAGCGTCTCTAATCTGCAGGTGCCACTGGAAGTGAAAATGCTGCTCTAATCGGTGTCCATGGACTCTCCACTTGTCTCAGAGGCCACCAGCCAGCTCTAGGCAACTAAAAAAAATCTACATTTTGTCACCACAAATTTGTCTTTTCTGGGCAGTTCACATAAATGAAAATATACACTGTGTGGTTTTCTGTAGCTGACTTCATTCACTGAGTGTGTTTCAAGGTTTATCCATGAAGTCCATATCAATAATTCATTCCCTTTTAATCACAAAATAATATTTCATTATACAGATATTCTACATTTTACTAAGCCTGCACGGCTTAAGTGACAAATTAGGGGCCTATGGCTGACAAGTAATGGCTATTGTTTCAAATTTTCATCAGTTGCTATTTGAAAGAACTTGTTAAGAACTTCTACACTTGGACTAAAGTAAAGATGGATGGATGACTGAGGTGTTTCTACTTTTTGCTTGTAAGAAATAATGATCCCATGAACGTTCACATGCAGATATTTATGCAGGTATGTTCTTGTTCTGTTGGACACGTATCCCATTGGAAGACTGAGACTTTTCAATTCCAAAGCTTACTACAGTAACCAAGATGGTGGCGATACTCTAGGTCTTCATGGTTTCACAGCTACTTGGACAGATGAAGGAGGAGGAGCCCAAGTTTGACATTTTCCTGGGCAACTTAGCGATATGTTGTTTCAAAATAAAATTTAGAAAGGCCTGGGGATATAACTCCATGATGAAGCACCAGCCAAGCTTATGGAGAGCCTCAATTTCTACTGCAGGGAAACAAAAAGATGATGGTATGATAGCAGTACTAGTACAAGAATTCACATATAGAGCAATAGAGTAGAATGGAAAGCTAGGAGTGGATCCTTACATTGATGCCAGTGCTTTTAGTAAGTGTACCACATATAGAAATGAGCTCACATGGGTCACAGAAGTGAATGTAAGGCTCAGTACTATCTCAGGAGAGCACAGCCACATGTCCTTGTGAGGTGGGAAATCACCTTCTTCCTTTGTGTGTAAATATCTCATTGTCCCTATACTATGTGTTGAAGGCCCCTCTTTCCCCTCATGCTGTCCAGTCACATGAGTTGAAATCAGGAAGCAGAGTCCTCCATCTTTGTTCTTTTAAAAGTATCTTTGGCTCTTCTGGGCCGTTCAGATTTCCATATAATGTTTTCAAGATCTGCCTTTCAAATTCTTGGAGATGCATTTTGCTGCCCAGTGGAAACTTTTCATTGTATTCCCACTCACCCATAGGAAGTTGGACAATCTTTGTATGAGCTCAGATATGGACATCCACAGATGGGAAGCACCCACGGGGATGCAGATGGCCTGTGAAACAAGTGGAGAGTCCGTGGACACCGATTAGAGCAGCATTTTCACTTCCAGTGGCATCTGTAGATTAGAGACACTGGTATTTTTGTTTGTAATTTTATGCCTGATCAAATCGTCAGGGATAATGATTTTTCCAAAAGCAAATAGAAAAAGTAAAACATAGTTAATGACATTTTAGGGTTATTTCTTGCCATGTATGTAATAACCCTTTGGGCTGAGGTTGAGACGTTAGGGTTAGGGTGACAGATAATTTCTAACTGGTTAGACATGTCAAGTTCATGCCTCACAGAGCCAAAGAGTGAACTTGAGGACAAAGGAGATGAAGAGAAGGAAATTTTTATTAGAGAAAACACCTGAGAATCAGAGGGGCCCTGAAAGTGAGTTTTCACTGAGGCTTTTTAGCTTTATTATTTTAAATAATAAAATCATATCACAAGTTAGCTTGGATCAAACTGTAACCAACCTATAGGGTTACAAATGCTAATACTGATCTAAGAGGAAACAGGGTAGGCAGCAAAGCCAAGCAGGACAAAGAAGAACCAAGGCATTTCTGGAAGGGGTGGGAGTGAGGGCCAGAGTGTTTCAGTCATTCAGTTGCCGGCTTGTTACATTTTTCTACACATTTGTTACATTGTTTCTGTGTGTTCGCTCTACTGTCCAGCTTAATTAATAGATCAGATGGTGTTAGCTACAGCACAGCTTTGAGTTGTTATTTATCTCTGCTGGTCTGGCCATGGTGTTTCTATTTGGGGGCCTGGTTTCCATCAACTCAGCCCTGGACCTCAGGCCTGGATTGCCTGATCTCTATTCTGACTCTCTCTTGGGCCCTGTCCCTTTCTAACTTCCTCTCAATCACTATGTAACTAAGCTGTCTGCTGTATTAGGGTTAGGGTTAGGTTTGAGATTAGTGAGACACTGCTACCCAAACATGGAGAAGGAACAGAGGGGCCAGGACCTAACACACAGGCAGGATCTTGGAGCCCATCCCAGACCTACAAAGCCAGTTCCTAAGACCACAGCAGCCCCACAGGAGCTGGATAGACCAGCAGGTGGCACCTATGTCCACAGCCAGAGCTGGCTTATCCTCACTAGGCTGGGCCCCAAGACTCCAGGAATCCCTGTCCCCCAGCCAGCTACTGTTATGAGTGGCCAGCCTCTCTGGGGGGACGGCAGAGCACTAGGACCGAGAATGATGCTGCCTGTCTGTTGGCCAATCCTCTCCCCCAGGCTAGTTCTCTGCACCCTGGAGATAGTGTCTCTCTCTAAGTCTCTATGCTGGGGGAACCCTCAGCTGAGCCCAGGGAAGGAAGCCCCCAGGCTACCAGGGAGGGCAGGCAGAGCTTCTCCCTACTGTGCAGGCATTGTTTTAAAGTTTTGTGTAACAGCTTTGATTTTGCCTCTTGGCATAAAGATGTTAGTTGTTTGTCTCTTTGTGGAAATAACTATGGATCCTTGGTCTACCCTGGAGACTCCTCACCCGTGCCTATGCTTAGGATCTGCCCTTGTCTGTCACCAAGGAGACTTCTAGGCATCTATCTGTGAGGCCAGTTCTGGTCTCTTAATTCCTTGTCTTGATGAATGCTTTCTTCCTGTCCCCTGGGCTCCCTTGGCTCTGTCTCTTGATCTCTCTGGGTGTCCTTGAAATTCAACAGGACAGACCCATGGGTGGGTTCCATGAAGGAGATCTTCAGCCCCACTCAGTGCTTCAGACACAGTGGTCTGAGGTTGAGCCCAAGAATTTATTCTTCCGAGCTGGGTAGGATGGTGGCACAGATCTATAATCCTTGCACTCAGGAGGCTGAGGCAGGAGGATCCACATGAATTTGAGGCCAGCTTGGGCTACATAGTAAAATTTTACATCCCTGGTGATATAGCTGCACTTTGTCAGGTTGGCTCTGACCCCTTCTTGAGATCATTTTGAGCTTTGAGGTCAGAGACGTCCCCTGAGGCTGCAGCTCAGGTGGCCTCTGTCCCCATTCTTATTTTCCTGTTTTGTTTGTGGGAGGCAGAACAGGGGTGGAACCCAGGGCCTTCACGCTGAGCCACAACCCTTTTTATTTGGAGACAGTGTCTCTCTCTAAGTCCCTGTGCTGCTGGGACTGCACTCTAATTTCTAATCTTCCTGCCTCAGCCTCCCAAGCAGCGGGATTACCGGTGAGTGCCACCTATGAAACTCTGGTGAGGAATAAAGAATTTCCATAGAGCTTCCTAAGCAGAGTATCTCTTGTGCAGTTGGTCATGGCAATGAGCAAGATGACAGACATGACCAGACTCCACCAAGCTGTGGCCGTGGGGGACTACAGCACAGTGAAGCGGATCCTAAGGAGAGGCCTCTGCAACCCCAATCACAAGGACGCGGACTGGAACGACCGGACCCCACTTCACTGGGCTGCAATCAGAGGTGGGCAGCTGGCACCAAGTCCGAGTCCCCTGTCCTCTGGTTCCCGTCCCTCTGGGGCCCATCTGCAGGGGAAGGACAGGAAGTTCCCTGGAGCCACAGGGGGCAGGTCGGCCCCAGCATAGCACCTGGGGCACGTTGTTCACTGTCTCAGCCTCAGTTTATTCTCTTGTATGACCAGAGCAGCTGTGCCCTTCTGGCTCTGTGACAGATGCCCAGGAAGACTCTGAGCATATGTCGTGTGATGTAAAAATACAATACGTGCTTAAACTAAAAAAAGTATTATCACAGTAAAAGAAACATTGCCTTTAATTCCCCTCAAAATTCTCCTCGTTGCTTTGAACACATTCATCCCACTGCCTTTGCCCTGTGGAGACTCTTGGGCAACTCTCCTTGAAAGAAGAGCAGTTGTCTTCATTATGACTGTGTCCAACCCTATTTCCATGTATTGATAGGTACAGAGCTGGCTAGGACTTTTCCTCATCCCTTTAACTGGCTTGAAGCATACATATTGGTCCAGCATGGTCTTTCAAGACAACATGTGTGTTCCCCGGTAACCCCTACCTGCTGCTCTTTCATATGAGCTGGGTAGAGACAGGATGAAGAGCCAGTGCTCCACACTGTCGGCTGGGATCGAGCCTCAGACAGAGGCTATGACTTCCTGGGGCTTGAAAGATGATGCATCGGAGCTGAAGCACCAACCCCAAACCATTAGATTCTATCTCAGTTGTGCAGTACAGATCACTCTCTGCACATCCTTCTGTCTGCATACTGCAGAGGTGAATGCAGGCCTCCACCTAGCCCAGCTTGCAGCACTCGCCCACTTCCTGCCATTCTCACAGTCACTCATCTTCAAGCCACTCCTCCTTCATGATTGAATAAAACCTGGGTTTGGCCTTGGGTTGAGGCCTTTGTTCCAGATAGCCATCACCATGGCGGGCCTAGGACCCCTTGGCTCCTCATGACCATAGATATACTTTAGTGTCTTTATTCTCACCGTGGGTTACACTGGAAGTGGTAGATTGGAATTAACTTGGCGGGATTCCAATAACTTATCCACAGGATCACAAATATAAGCTTCCCAGACCAAGACGAGGACCAGGAGGGGCTCTCTGTATCCCTTTTCTGCAGCAGCTCTGGAGTTCTCTTTGGTCAGTGTACTTAGTTGCACTGTCCTGGCTGCCTTGACGTCTTGAGTCGATTTGCAGTGTTTCCCTGCCATGATTATTTTGACCTTGGGGGAAAGCCAGAGGTCATACTGTGCCATTTCTGGTGTTTCTACCAACCCACCTTTCCACTGGATGGCAGGCAGCAGCTACAGTCACCATTTTACTGATCACAATTTGTAGAGACACTCAAGAAAGAGGACTTCTGGAGCTGCCTCCAGACGGGACAGGCGCCAAAACAGGTATCTGTTTGTCCCTAGTGGAAATGGAGCAACATGGAGAAGGAGAAATTTTTTTGTTTTATCCCGAGTTCCCCACACCTCGCACAGCTGGCTCCAGGATGGGAGGAGGCCAGGAGGATGGGAGGGGGATGAGTGAGGACGCAGGCTGGGCTTGGCCAGTGCTTGGCACCAGGACACCACCAAAGAGTGATAAGCAGCAAAGTGCTGTGGTCAGCTTTGCTTCACAAATATTTGCTGTGATTCCTGTGTGGAGAATGCCTCTATGGAAAGCAAGACTGGTGACAGAAAGCTTTCTTGGGAAATTTGCAAACTCCAAGTCCAAAGGATTGGTGGCTATACCCGTGCCAGGGAGCATTTGCTCTGGGCTGGGCACTCTGCTGGGTGCTTCATGCCTGTGGCACCCTGTCAGTACTCAGTGAACAAGTGGTAGCATCTCTCCTTCTGCACAGGAGGACACGGAGCCACAGAGGATGCTCCTTGGCCTGCAGTGACTGTTGCCAGGCAGCGGGAGGGTGAGGACCTGAGCCCGCAGTCATCAGGTTAGGAAGGCCAGGCCCTCCAGCTGCGGAGCCACAAGGGCCACGGGCTCTAAACACTTGTTTTGCAAGAGAGGGCTGAGAGGGTTGAAGTCGCATCTAATGGATGCTTCCATGGGTGGATGTGAGGGGACAACTGAAGGGGACAGGAGCAAGGATGGGTAAAAGAAGCTCAGGAGGAACTGAGGGACTCAGATCGGGGGGACAGGGTTCATGGGTGAAGGAGGCCCAGGTGGGGACAGTGAGAAGGAGAAGGAACGTGGAGACCCCTCAGCAACTAATTCCTCTCCCCTCCCGGTGGCCCCAGCCTTGGGCCACCGGGACACATTCCCCTACCTCATCCTGTTCTTTCTGGTCCTCCCAAGGGCACGTGGAGGTGCTGCGCCTCCTGCTGGAACACGGAGCCAGGCCCTGCCTGGTCACGGATGTGGGTTGGACTCCAGCTCACTTCGCGGCTGAGTCGGGTCACCTGGGGGTCCTCAAGGTCCTTCATGCCCTGCACGCTGCCATCGATGCCCCCGACTTCTTTGGGGACACACCCAAGAGGATCGCCCAGATCTACGGGCAGAGCGCCTGTGTGGCCTTCCTGGACATGTAAGTCCATCCCTCCCCAGCTCCAGCAAGAACAAGAAGCAGGGCCTGCAGCCAACCCCTTGTTCAAAGGCTCCTTCAGGGACCTTGAACTATATTTGAGCTAGCTGTGTGATTTCCTCAGACTTACATTGAGACCAATGAATTAGACTTCTACTTTAATCCTGGTCCCTATACTTTGCCTAAGCAGGCACTTTAGTCTGCTGAGCTGTCTGGCCAGCCTTCTTCTAACTTTTAAAGCTTCCACATTTATCTATGAAGCCAGCCCTGTACCACACAGACACCATGATGAGAATTTATCCAGCTGGCATTCCTGACTTCCTATCCAGTTTAGCCAGTGAACATGAGAAGGCACTGTATTAGCCAGCAGTGCCACCCCTAGGACAAAATCCATGACACGCACAATTTAAGAAGAAACTTAAAACATTGATTCACAGTTTCACAGGATTCTGGCCATTGTGGACCAGCTGGAAGGTGGAGCCAACAGGGCAGGAGGGGTTTGGTGAAAGAGAACTGCCTTAAGTCACAGCCTCTAGGAAGCAGAAAGGGAGACACGGTCCCTTCAGACGTGACCCAGTGACCCACCTCCTCCGGCCAGGCCCTGCCTCCTGCCACATATCCAATTATAAACTCATCAGAATTCATCCACTAATGAATGCAATGACCCTGGGGTCCAGTCCTCTCCTAAAACCCCAGTGTGAGACATCTTATATCTAAACAAAAAAGTTTCAGTTATAGAGGTAACAGTCATATCTCCAAAAAGGACAGAAGTACAACTTACCAGTTTAGAGCTCCAGTTCATCAACAAGTAATTCATCGCAGTAAAAACTGAGTTTGAGTCTGTAGGGTTCATTGCTTGGAAACCAGGCTGAGGAGACATGGAATCCATCATCAGGGGCAGTTCATTGTGTCTCCGTTACTTTTCTCTCATTGCTGGGATGAATACCTGACACCCAAAATAAAGGAAGGAAAGGTTTGCTTAGCTCACAGTTAGTGGAGGTGTCAGTCCATACTTAGCTGGCGCCAAGGCAGATAGCACATGACAGAGAGCAACTGTTCATGACAGTGGCAAAGAGCAGAGAGCAAAGGGAGTGGCAGCAGCTCAGGCAGCTAGCTAGCCTCTCTCCCGTCCTTACACTGTAATGCAGTTTGCCTGCACCAGGGCAAGTGTGACATCCACACCCACAACAATCAATGACAAACTCCAGAAGTTAGCCCACGACTGCTTGAGGCTTTGAGGGGACACCTAGATACAAGCCATAATAGAGGGTGACAGTGACTTCCTCTTGAGATTAGATTAAAAATGCAGTTATTGTCAGAATGTTAAAGCCTAGTGTGAGGGTGCGCTCCTGTGATCCTAGCACTCAGAAGGCTGAGATAGGAAGATTGCTGTGAGTTTAAGGCCAGCCTAAACAGCATAGCAAAGACCCTATCTCAAACAAAGAAAAAAAAAAAAAAGAAAGGAAGAAAGGAAGGAAGGAAAGAAGGAAGGAAGGAAGGAAGGAAGGAAGGAAGGAAGGAAGGAAGGAAGGAAGGAAGGAAGTTAAGCCAGTAAAGTCTTTGCCTATAATGAAATCAGTTGTCTGTGGAAGTCACCAAAGAAACTCTCTTAAAGGTGGTGTCGTCCACTAAAAATATCCAGATCACAGACTTGGGAGTTAGGAGGCAGAACCTGAGAGCTGCTGCAGAGTCCCCTGTCCCAGGTCTCTGCCCCCTCCCTATGCTTGGTGACCTCCATGCATTGTGAACACCCATGGCTCCTGACCTTGTTCCCTATGCTTTCAAAACTCTAACCCATCACTGTGCGACCCTCATTCCTCCATCCTGCCAGGTCCTAGAGCCTCCTGCTGTCCTTTGATTGTCAACAGCCATTGCCATTCCCCTGCTTTCTTTCTTGGTCTATCACCTCCCGAAGGCTTCTCCAGCTCCCTTGGACACCCTGATGCATGCCCCCACTTTCTTCCAGCTGCTACCTATCACTTGAAGGTTCTGTTACATACACTCCAGAGCCTCAACCTGGGGTGAATCTCTGTGTTCTCCATGCCTGTGTTTCTTTGCTCACCCAGAGAAATCCCACAAATAAGAAGACAAGTAGTGCCAGAAGGCCTCAGATGTCTGCTCTCTGGCCTCAGAGCAGGGCAGAGTCTCTCCCTGTCCTGCTTGCTCAGCGGCCGCCAGAAGGCCCCACCACACCTCAGCCTGCATCTTCTCCTGAGGCCTGGGGCATGTAGGTTTCTACACCTTGACCTATAGACCACACACCACCCCCAGTTCCTGCCTCCCGTCCCATCCCTGCTCCTGAGAAGTGGTGCCCTCCACGTGGTGCTGTACATCTTCATCCGTGCCATCCTTGCATAGTCTTTCTTACATATTTACTCTTTCTCTGTATTTTTTGGTTTTCTTTCAAAAAGAGAATAAAAAACAGGGAAAAGACTAGAAATGATACAGAATTTCACTAAACAAAATGACAGGAATTCAACAATGGTCGTTACAGTGCGTATTGTTGTCTTCGAATTAGTTGTTCAGATTACCAGATACAAGCATGCAAACTTGGTCCAAAAAATTAAAAAGAAGAAAAAAATTTAAGCATTAACTCTTCCTTTCAATAGACTAAAAGAAATCAACAGTACAATTATCCAAGCTATCCTTGGATATTATATATAAATATATACTGTATAATAAAATACATCAGATACATTTTTCCTTCCTCCTTGCGCTCTTTTCTCCTTTCCCTCATCCCAGTTGTACCTTTCCTTTGAACAATTTCTTTCAGAGATATAAGTGCACCCATGTTTATAGCTGCACAATTGGTCACAGCTAAGTCTTGGGAACAACCCAAGTGCCCATCATTTGAGGAATGTGATAAAAAAAAAAAAGACGTGGTATTTTTATACAATGGAGTTGCTCAGCTATAAAAAAGATAAAACTCAGGACTTTTAGAGGTAAATGGATGCAAGTGGAGACCATGCTGATAAGCGAAATAAATGGCACCTACATGTGTCAACATGTTTTCTCTCTAGTGGAAGAACCAGAAAGAGTAAATAAAATCTGAAAGATACAATAGATTTTTTTTTTTTTTTTGGTCTTTTTGAGACAGGGTCTCACCGCGCAGTTCAGGCTGGCCTTAAACTCACTTTGTAGCTCAGGCTGGCCTTGAACTCCTGGTGATCCTTCTGCCTCAGCCTCCCCTGGGATTACAGGCGTGTGCGCCATCACAGTGCCTTTTTTTTTTTTTTTTAAATCTCCCGCCTTCACTTCTTTTTGGCCCATGAACATGTTCACATGGATCTTATTAAACAGACAGCTACAGGCCCGTCTTAGCCTGCTGCTTTCCTCTCTGTCCCTGCGCTTCTGAGCCCCTTGGAAGTGTGGTCTCCGCGTCCTGGCCTCTCTCCGGATATCTTCCGGGTCTTCGTTCTGAGGCAGCTCCCGCCCCCACTGCGGGGAAGCGCCTTGGCTGAGCCAACTGCCTCTTCTCAGTTGCGTCTCCCGCCATTAATTCCACGTGGGTGTCCCCGAATCGCTCCTCCCCTGCTGCTACCGCCTTAGTTTTCCTGCCCCTGCCTCATCCTGTGATTTCAATATGGCTGTTCTCAAGCTCTGTCTTGTGACCTCGCGTTAGCAACATGTGAAGTCGTAGTTACTGGAGGAACGAGGAGCTCCCACACTAAGCTATCTCTGAGGCAGTCTACCAACCCCTCCCTGGGGTCCAGCTGGTCTGAGTCTGTGTATTAATACCTCTCTGGGTCACATCTTCCTCATCACTGACATAGAAGCAGTGTCCTTGGTGTCCAAGGCCCTGGCTGACTGTGGATGTGCGCTGACTCAGTGTCACCTTCCCTCCAGGCCCTGTGTAAATCTCCCCTTGTATCCTTCTGTCCCCAGGGCTGAGCCACAGTGTCACGCCCACCGCCTGGCTGGGCTCTCTCAGGATGAGCGTGACCCCGACTGGGAAGCTGGGAAGTGCCGCCTGCAGCGTTCCCTTCAGTCTGCAGGACAAAGCACCAGCAGGAGGGGAAGAGGGCACTGGGGGACCCAGTTTGGTGACTCCCAGGAGTGGGGGCCTCTGCCATCCAGGGACCCCCCTGTGGCCCACACCAGGAGTCATAAGGCACCCTCTCTCACACAGGGGCCTCGTGGTGGTGGCCTTCTGCAGCCCAACAGTCACAGTTGAAGGCATCTGTCCCTAGGGGAGCAGGGACTGGTGCCAGCTGTCACCTGTCTCTGTGTGTCTACAGCAATGAGCACCTCCTGACCACCCCTGCTCTACTCTAATGATGGGACCAAAATGGTTCTCCTAAGAGAGGCAGTGATAAAAGCAAGACTTAAAATTCTCCCACATCTTCTGGTCAATCAGTCCGTGAACACTTACCTGTTGTCACATGGATGAGGCCGGGACCTGGACAGCTGTGTCTCCTTCGTGGGGTGGGAGCCACAAGCCCACCCAGACACTGGGATCCTGGACACCTCCACACAGGAGGAAGAGCTGGGCCGAGAACAGCTTGCATCCCACACAACTAATGAGAAGGAATGGGAAGGACTGGAACCTGCGGCTAAGAGGCCACAGTTCAGACTGATGGTGTAGCTCAGTGGCACAGGGCCTGCCCGGCAAGGGCAGGGTTCTGAGTTCAATTCCCAGTACCAACAAACCAAAAGCAAAGAAGAGTCTGTAGTTTCAATTATACATTTGGAAACATTTAAATGTAGATCAGACAGTTCTAATTAAAAAATATAGCAGCTAAGTTAAGGTGTAAAGTACACAAAAACACGCCAAACGTCTCTATTATAATGCTTAATTCTGATTTGTTGAAATGATAAGACATTAGCTGTCTTAAGGCTGAATAAAATTTATTATCAAAATGAAATTTATCTCTTTCTTTTCATTTTAAAAATCATGGTTTCTCTTATATGGAAGACCCAAAGCATAAATAAATAGCAAAAGAAAAGGTCACGGGAAGTGGGGAGAAAACTCTTTCTCAAATAGAAAGGGAGCCAAGGCATGGAGGAAGAGGGGAAGGCGGGAAGGGCAGGGATGGAAAAGGAATTTAGATGCAGCGTGGACGTGCTCCAGCTCCACACGAGGAACAGAGCCATTGCGTGCCGCACATGTGTACAGAAAGAAAAAGAAAAGGAAAACAAAGGAATCGAAAGGCGGGTGGGCAGGGACAGAAAGGGAACGAAAAGGAACTAGATATTTTATGCCCACGCACCAGTTCCCATAAGGGAAGTAAACATGACACGCTGTAAGCACGTGCTAATAAAGGAACCTCGCAAATTAAAAAGAGAGAGTCTGCTACAGTGCTTGAAATTCTAAGTGGTTTGCACGGCATTTTCTCTCGCCAATATCTGTGCTCCCAAATTCAGACCATACTTCAAGCCTCCGTGGGGGGATGGGCTGGAATAGTTCACTTCCATTGGCTCCTTCATGTACAGGCTTATTAAATTCTCTAAACCAATGTCTTCAGCTGTCAAAGATCTTTATTACACATCCATCAATGACTGCTTCTGCTAATTCTGGGCAGGATTGATTTGAATTGGTTTGAATTTTCTAAAGTAAACAATGCTTTAGTCTAGGAAAGCAATGTGGAGATAGAGGACGCCCTTCCTAGCTCGCCATCCCCCAGCGACGGTTCTCCTCATCCACACACTGGGCTCCCAGGGTGGTCCCCGAAGGCCACTTGGTTCTGATCCCCATGGCATGGATTCTAGAAGACACTGACTCCAGCTGGCCAGCAAGATTCTTCGCCTGGGAACGAGAAAAGAAGATTTCGTGAGAGGCTGGAACAGCAACAAATAGTGCTGCCACAATAGAGAGGTTGATTGTACTGCAGGGCAGAGGGAGCTTAAAGGGGTATTCTACAGAGAGGAGGGAGGAGAGAGAGAGAGAGAGAGAGAGAGAGAGAGAGAGAGAGAGAGAGAG